TTGAGCAGTGTATATATATATATATATACATATATATATATATATACATATATATATATATATATATATATTAAGGCTCCTGTGCCTAGTCATCGCGGCAAGTATTGGAATCGTGACGTCATAAACAAGAAATGACACATAAAAATTTGTTGCGTGCCATTTTTAAATAAAGAAAATTTGGATAAAATAAAAATGGATGAAAACTATTCTTTTTCTCCCTGACAATCAATAAATAGTCGTAAAAGGCACGTAAAGTGAAGCCTATTTAGGCAAAGAAACTCACGGTTTGACTGTTGTCAAAAAAAGGGAAAAATATGCTTTTATGTTTAAAATTCAATAATACCTAGCTTTAATTTTCCATTTTTACGACTTTGATAAGTACGAGACAAGTCACATTTTCACAATTAAGCATATAATAAAGAAATGGCACGCAACACAAAATTTGTCGTCAACACTTTTCACAGTAGGTCCGTTATTCTCTTAAAGTTGAGTATTCTCTTTACATTCAACTGTGATTGATCAATTCTTACTACTTACCATATCGGCATATAACATATTTTGTAGAATTATTACGGTTTACAATTTATAACACCGAAATATGACGTATTATAGAATGGTCCTAGTACGATAGTAATAAGATTCTAATTTCTACCGCAATATAATATCGCCATCGTCAACGCGGAGTTCGTGGTTGACTAGGCAGGAGGCTTTAATTATACAAGCTGTAATTATAAAGTTACAAAAGCTTTATAATTTAAAGATTTTATATTCATTTTGTATCAATAAAATTAAATATATTAAGCCTTATTTATAATGAAATCTTTATCTATATAATAAAATTAAAAATTAAATTTAAGATTATTTATATTTTTATTCCTTTATTACACATTTGAAAAGAAAAATAGTATCAAAATAATTTATATAGGTAAACGTTGGTAGTATCAAAATCTAGTCAATAAATTGTTTTTTTCTATCCATAAATCTTGCAGGCATTCAGCTTAGACACTTGGATAGCATTATTAATGATAATAATAATCGCTTCTTTTCTGTTGACTACTATGAAAATAGAAAACGGATTCTCGATGGACTTAATGTCTGAAAACTATATTAAAATTTGGGGAATTTATTGCCAACAAGGTCTGCCAGGTAATATTTGTTATAAAAATATTTCATAATTTTAAGGATTAACTTAAAATTAAGGGCTTAAGGATTTGTTTATATAATATTTTAATATTATTCTTGGTGATGATTTATGGCATTTATGCTATTAGTGCGGCGATGTGTCAATAATATGTATATTTGGCGCCCAGAAAACAGCGCATATATATATGTGTGTGTGTGTGTGTGTGTGTGTGTGTGTATTTTTTTTCACGCAGGATTTCCTAGAGAGTCATCGGTAAGGTTGGCTTTCTTCTCGATTTACATCTCGGCAATAATAATTCTGGCCAGTTATTCTGCCTCGTTGATCAGCTTCCTGGCGCTCAATACCCCCCAACTATCTTTTTCTACTCTAGAGGGTTATGTTAAGGACGGCACTTACAAATTAATTGTTTTGGAAGACAGCGCCGAGTACGAAGTTCTTAGTGTAAGTCCGTCTTTATTAAGAGCTTAGAAATTACTTTTGTAACAGAGTCAATAGTTTTGATCAAAGCGCTCGTGAATAAAAATAATCTCGCAATTTTAGTCGAGAACGTTTGGAAAACTTTAACTTTACACAATATATAACATTAGTAACATTATACAAAAAAGTCTTCATATTTTAATAATTTTTTGCAAAAAATTTGATAATTTTACATGTTAGAAAACTTAATTTTTTATTTGTAGAAAATATATTTTTATTTTTAAATTTTTTACATTTATATAATAAATATTATTAGCGAGAGTTCGTAAAGAAGTCATATTCTAGTCTGACTACATAATTGGAAGAAAAACATCATCTTTTTCAAATTGTTCTTTCGAATTTTGCAGAGTACCAAAGACCCAGTGTATTTAAAAATGTACCAATTGTTGGAGAAGAAAAAGTATTTACCGGCCACACAGATGGAAGGTTTCGAGAAAGTTAGCGATATAACATAATTAATGACATTAATGGCATTAAATTTCTTTAAGTTGATTTGCACCTCAATTCTTACGCAGATCTGCCAGGGGAAGAAGAACTTGGCATTTTATACGACGGAGGTGGCCAAAGAAACTAATATATCTATACAGTGTAAAGTCGTATACATTGTTACCGGGAGAATCGATAATCTGGGGCTAACGCTAACAAAAGGAAGTTCTTTCACTGGTTTTATAAATTATCAGTAAGTTCTATGAGTATATACATATATTTATTTACGTGTTCCTCTCTTCTCCTCTCCTCCTCTGTCCTCCTCTCCTATCTAAAAAAAGACATGTTAAGTCGAACTCAAAATGTATCGTTGTTCTCGAAATTATTGTTGACTCTTTTCCGCGACGCTTATTGGTTCTCTCGCTGCGCTAACTTCGTGAGCGGCTGTCATTGCATTGACTTTTGACAGTTGTATGTATTGAGGTTGATGTGTAATTATAGTCAATTGTAGTAAAGTAAAAGTGCAGTTAAATAGAGCGCGCGAAGCGCGCATCTGTAGTGCTAGTACTTACAAAAAATACCGCTTACAATTGCTTTTTCCTTTTCAAAATTCTTTAAATATATTTGCATTTTTCAGCTTGCAGCGATTTCAGCTTAATGGCGTTATGAACAAGTTGCGGAACAAGTATCATGCAAAAGATCCCCCGAATGCGATGACTTCTGAAATAATTGATTTAAACGATATAACGCCGATTCTGACGATAATGATTGGCGGTATGATCCTGGCCCTATTTATCCTGATAATCGAGAAAATGTATTATTTGTTTAAAACTCGGTTTAATAACAATGAATCGTCTGTTAAAAAATTGAGTCATAATCTTGACGCAAAAAATAAAATGCAAAAGGGAAATGGCGAGAAAAACTTACAACTTCAAGAATTTTATAATAGACCGATTATTTATTATGGCTATTGGCCATAATAAATAGAAAAAACCACTATAAATGTTACAGGGATTTGTTGTCTGTAAAAACTTACAATTTTAATAATTAAATTAAATATTACATAATTATATTCTTTCATAATTCTGATGTATAAGATTTCAAAATACCTAGCTCAGAATTCAATCACTATATGGAACTTGATTGTAGCTAATTTTTCTATTATGCATTTATTGTTATAAATTTATGAGAATTCTCTGCTTATATAATTGTTGTTTTATTATTTAAAAAAATTTTTTTAAACTCCCTTAATAATTATTGTAACATATAACACTTATATAATAATTTTTACATAAATAAAATTTAACTATTAATATTTATAAATTGTTATGGAAGATAATTATAATAATTTATATCTACACAAAAATTGTTTTATCAATATATAATTTTAATAATCCGTAATAACACTGGTCAATATTATCCGTCAAGCGGAAGTTCGCATCCGCAGCTTGCAGTTTTCTTGCAGCAGTCGATTCGACACGCACTCAGGTGGCATAGCTTCGCCGGCGGGCGCAACGGATGCGAGCGAGCACGCGCTTACATTTCCGCTTTCTGTTTGACCGGAAGTGACCTTTGCCTCATTAGAAAAAACCTGCACGCACGCATCAATCCCGACGGTCGTCCCATACGCGGCATATCGCTTCAGTATATATACGTACATACATGCACATACAACGTGAGTCGCCTTTACCGTTGCATCGAGGCTAGCATCAACGGCGACGTTGATTATCGATTACGGAAATAAACGTGTCTCTTCACGGGTACCACCAATCAGCGGCGAACTAATCGCGAATAGCACGCGATGGCTATAGCGTGACAGCAGGATTACGTCTTCGTGGCCCCGTTAAGTTGTAAATACGTGGGATGGAACAGGCAATTTTTTCGGATCTTCTTTTAATGTCGAAATACAGAACGAAGTCCTGCACGAAGAAAAAGAGTTGTTTTTTTTTTCTTTCGACAGCTTCGAGCAATGCAAACGCGCAACCGCAACGGCCTTGATCGCAACCGTAAGAAGAACCGTACAAGCGGCGACGTGACATAGCAAGGTACAACATTCTAGAAACGAATATATTTTGTAATTTCGATCTTTCGACGCCTCTTCATCAAAATTCTAGCTTGAGTCTTGAACTTACTAATTCATTTTCTCTGCTCCAGTATTTTATTTTTTTTTTTTATCTCATCAATTCAATTTCTAATACGCCTTTTGGAACAGAGAAAGAAGAAAAAATCGTGGAAAATAAGCTCAGCCATTATACCTTGCTGCATTTCCAGAAAAACACTTTGATGAAAAACAAAAAGGAGGAGCTGAATGCGACGCGACGCGACTGTACTGCGAGACGATTTGATAATGCATCTTCGAGACGGCCTCGAAATGCATTACGCAGAAGTGATTGTCTATTATCGTTTGCGGGGATCGACGTCTACAGTGCCAGAAAGAAAACAAGATTCCCGACTGGCCTCTCTCTTGTCCGCGCAAGTGGTAGCCATTGTTGGCGCGTTGTGTCATCTCTGGACTTATCTCTGGATGACAGAACGCCATTACGTCGCAACGATGAGACGAGAGAGAGAGAGAGAGAGAGAGAGAGAGAGAGAAACAGGATACTTTTGCAACCAATTGTAACAATAACAATAATTGCGGACCAGGAAACAATAATGCTCGCGGGTAACGACGATTGTTGCAGAGAAAACAATGATGATGATGATGACAACGGGTGGGTCTCGCTCGAGAAATGAAGTCGTAAAATCGCGCAATGACGTCTTTCTTTGAATTTCGATAGCGCTTATTGCTAGGTGACTTAAAAATTGTTTATATCACGAGATATTATAAATAGAATAGAATAATTTTCTAGGATTTTATTTTTTGTAAAGAAAGAAATTTTTATAATGTTATATTTAAATACGTTATATATTATGCATATTTAAGTACGTTATATATTACAGATGAATATATTTATAAATAATTATAAATAATTTATATTTACAGATGATTTTTTTGAATTAAGAAGAGTTTCGTTGAAATTCTAAATAAAATAAGACTATATATTGGCAATATTATATTGGTAACACTTTCATCGCTAGATATATTTCAATATTTCTCCGAATATTACATTCGAGTAAGAATTAGATATTTTTTCTGCGCTTAATTACAGGTATTCGTTACGCACTCAAATAGTTTCAAAGAATAACGTTTCTAAGACAGCCCAGTACTAATTATTATTAGACAATGGCGTCCCAGCGCGCCTTAACGAAGACGATAATTTACTCCCGACGAGATGAGGAGCTCGGTGGCTCCGAGCAAATTCACTTGTGAGACCTCTTCGGCTACTGCGAAGCTCATTAACGTGCCCGAGAGCGTAGGAAGGTGTTAGCTACGCGTTGAATCATTTGTCCTTATGCGACGCGGCCGCCGTCCGACCGATGCTTTTTTAGAGGAAGCATCAGCTGCGATCATCGCGACGCGAATGAAAATTATTGAATCCAATAAGAACGGGGGTCACTGTCCTCGATATGCCTCGAGGACAATTATCTAACCGTTCTATTATCAGACGTTAAAAGATCGTCCGATCGTAACTCGATTAGTCTTTAACAAACAAGCTTCTCCATAATCACAATCCAATTTTTCTTTTCACCTCGCGAACCACCAAACGATTCGGTTAGTAGGTCGTAAATAATTGATGTAATATGTGTTATTACACGGCAGGAAGGCGGCAATTAATTCGTATTTATAGAACACGACGAAGGTATTATTCCATCATTTATAATTACAGAATATTTGATAGCGCATAATATCACCGACATTATAAGCCATAATGTTAAGTAAAGCTATTAATTTGCAGATTAAACATTATATATTAATATATGTATGAATACTACTGATAATTAGAAATTTCATGTAAATTGGTGCACTCTCGTGAGTATATTTTTTTTCCGCGATAATTCTGATTTAGAGATTATATCGCGAAAGAAAACAAGCGTTCAATTCCCATATTCAGATCGTAGAGATTACGGCGCGCAACAAACTTATTTTCGAATCGATTAATATATCCGTGTTCACTCATCGTTTTTCGCTGAAATCCTTCGTCACGAAATACACAACAAACAGCCGCGTCGTTCAATGTCACTGCCGACATGTCGCTCGATCAGCGCGCCTGATGATCCAGGTATTATATTGCGAAATACGGCCGGTCGTAAAAGCGTTTAATTGCCGTAGCGCGCGTTTTTGCCAAAATAGGCGATCGGGGACCCGCGGTGTGACGGCGCATGCAACAGACCTCTTCTCTTTTCTGAAGGACGTGCGCGTCGGGAAAAGGTTCTCTTTCTCTCTCTCTTTCACTCACCTATCACGTTCCTCTATGTTGTCGCCATTTGTACTTGCAGTTTTTATTTTTTATTCGACGCAATCGGAATTTTTCGCGATTAATATTGTTTCTCACGGTTCCTAATCGTCCTCGCACATTTACTTTATTAGATTGACACAGCGGAATAAATCCGCTCGAATCTCTTCGTCCTTTTTTTCCTCCTCTCTCTCTCTCTCTCTCTCTCTCTCTCTCTCTCTCTCTCTCTGTCTCTGCTTTCGTCAATTAACGTTGGCGGAGACGACCCACGTATACCGGGTGTCGCGTGGGTGTGGGCCGCGTATACGTATACACATTCGTGTCCGCACGCACGCAGTGGGGGCACGGTACCGCGATGCGGCGCCCCACCGCCGCCTGCACCGCCGCGCGCGGCGTGGCGGTATGGAATGGAAAGGAAAAGAGCTGTAGTGTATACCTAACTGCTGCCTATCCGCCTGCCTGCCGTAGACACGAGATTATGTTTCGTGTCTGCGGCGAACCCATTCAGTGCTTCTCACGGCACGGGGGCACATGGTGCGGTCGCGGCCGCAGACGGTCTCTCCGCGCGAGTGGTGGCACGCACGCGAGCCGCGCGACGAAGAAGAAGTGCAGCGAGGAGGATAAGCGCCCGCCGAGGAAGGTCGAGGGACATAAGAGTGAGAGGAGACGAAGTTGAGCGGACAAGTGCTGTAGTAATATTAAAAAAAAAAAAGAGAGAAGAGATAAAAAAAACATTGAAGACATTTTGAAAACGCGTCGAAAGTTCCACGTTGAAAGTTCCGGAAGAATATCTTCCGCACGGATCAAGTTAATCAAACGAATCATAGAGGAATGTATTAAAATACGCGCATGTTGCAAAGTTCAATTATATAAAGAAGCCGCGATAAAAATTGTGAGGCAGAAATTTGGCAAATGAAGTGCAATTGAAAAATAACAATAAAAAGTAACAAATTGAGAGAAAAAGAGGAATTAAAAGAGCAGATCCTGCCGCGCAGGAAATACGTGTATGCGTCATTCTTTACAATTCTGATCTGATACCAGAAGAAGAAGCGGAACAAGAAGCGTGTTTTGCGAGATATATCGGTGGGAAACGCGGGAGAGGAAAAAAACTGCGTCGTGTGCGGGAGAACCGCGAAGATCCTATAGCTTCGCTCGAGCGCGAGCTTCGCGATTCCCCGCGCACTTTCGGAGGAGATATCCGGCGCGCGTGTCCGGCGCGCGAGATGTGAAAAGTTCTCCCTCCCC